ATTTTTAGCTTTCTTGTTCTCTTTCTTCATGTTATATTGTACTCTCATGTGCATTTGTTTGCACATGTGTTATATTATTGTCTGTATCCCACATGTGAGAGAGAGCATGTGGTTTATTTCTTTCTGAAGTGTTGTCAGACTTTCTTTTAGGACCACCAGCTCTCCAATAATGACACTGAGACTTATAATAATTATGAAAGCTTGGCCTTTATTGTTCCCAACTAGCTCTTATAACTTAGATTAACCAATTTATATTAATCTGTACCTATGGACACCTGATTTTTTTTTTTAATAAAGAAGCCAGAAATACACACTGGAAAAAAGACAACATCTTCAACAATGGTGCTTGTCTCAGTGGATGTTTCATGTAGAAGAAAGCAAATATATCCAGATTTAACACCTGCACAAAACTCATATCCAAGTGGATCAAAGACCTCAACCTATAACCAGATACACTGAACCTGATAGAAGAGAAAGTGGAGAATAGCCTTGAATGCATACGCACAGGAGAAAACTTCCTGAACAGACCCCCATAGCACAGGTACTAAAATCAACAATTAGTAAATGGGACCCCATGAAACTGAAAAGCTTCTGTAAGGCTAAGGACACAGTCAGTAGGAAAAATGGCAGCCTAGAGCATGGGAAAAGGTTTTCACCAACTCCACATCTGACAGAAGGTCGATATTCAAAATATGTAAAGAATTCAAGAAACTAGTCGTCAACTAATCAAATCATCCAACTAAAAAATGTGATACAAGTCTAAACAGAGAGTTCTCAATGGAGGAATCAGTGGTTTGAGAAACACTAAAAGAAGTATTCAACATCCTTAGCTATCAGGTAAATGCAAAACAAAACTGCTTTGAGATTCTATCTCAGAGTGGCTAAGATCAATAACACAGGTGACAGCTCAGGCTGGCTAGGATGTTCAGCAAGGTGTGCAAACTTGTCCAGCCACTATGGAAGTCAATATGGCAGTTCCTCAGAAAATTGGGAATTGATCTACCTGAAGACCAAGCTATACCACTCCTGGTGGTATTTAGACACAGGACGCTCTGTCCTACCATAAGGACACTTGCTCAACTATGTTCATAGTAGCTTTTTTTTTTTTTCCGAATAATAGCCAGAAACTGGAAACAACTTAGATGTCCCTCAACAGAATACTGGATAAACAAAATGTGGTCTGTTGCACAATGGAGTACTACTCACGTGTTTAAAAACAAGACATCATGAAATTTGTAGGAAAATGGATGAATGTAGGAAAAAATCATCCTAAGTAAAGTAACCCAGACCCAGAAACACAAACATGGTATGTACTCATTTTTAAGTGGATATAGGATGTTAAGTAAAGGATAATCATGCTACAATCCACAGACCTAGAGAGGCTAATCAACAAGGAGGGTGTCGGCGGCCACTTGGAGCTCCCTGTGATAGGGAGGTAGTGTTGTGGAATATTTAACTATGTAAAGATGTGTGGCATCTGTTTATGCTGCATTTGTTTAATGATTTAAGGAGGTGTTGCTGTTGCACCTTGCCTGCCTAAGGCACTTGATTGGTCTAATAAGCAGATGAATGGCCAGTAGCCAAGCAGGAGAGGGCAAGGTGGACAGAGAGAATGAATAGGAGGAATCTTGAGAGGAAGGAACAGGGAAAGAAGGAGAAAAGAATGGTGAGAAAGAGGGGGACATTCCCAGAGCCGGAATCCAGGCAGCTCCAGACAGACATAGAAACAGCAGGACAAGTAGGACATACAGAAAGAAAATGTAAAAAGCACCACGGCAAAAGGTAAATACAGAGAAACAGGTCAATTTAAGTTAAAAGAGCTAGCCAGAAATGAGCCTAAGCTAAACTGAGCATTCATAATAATAATGTCTCTATGTATTGATTTGGAAGATGGTTGGTGGCCCCAAAAGAAAAAGCCTGCTGCAAGATAGAATAGAGTTTGAGGATGGACTAGGGTCGGTTTGGGATGGGAAGTGGAGAGATCAATCAGGTGAGAGGGTTGGAGGGAGAGGAGACTGGGAGAGATGACTGGAATTTGGGGGGATGTGGAAACCTAGTGTAGTAGAAAGTCCCTAGAATCTATGAGGGTGATGCTAGAGGAGGTGTCTTGGGAGATGCAGTGCCTGAACTGTCCATCTACTGTAACCAGTCAAGTCTTCCAGTCATGGGATTGGGACCACAACCCAGTCACAAAACCTTCTACCTCTAATTTGTCCTGCCTGCAACATGTGTTGGAATAATGGTGGAGCAGAACATGTATGACTGGCCAGCCAATCTCTGGTCCACTTGCAGCCCATGGCTAGATGGCCAAGAACCAGAGGCTTGATGGCCCAGAGACCTAGGGTAGAAACAAACATGAGTGCCCCCCCCCCCCAAAAAAAAGGTCAGCGAATGTCGGGGCCCACAAAAGCTTCCTAGTGAGATCTGAGCTTGCTTTACACAGCAAGGCTGCATTAAGGGATGTCTGGACCACATTCCTAGCCACCAGGTGCCTGGAAAAGTCTACACTTGGCTGTGCTGTGGGGAGGTCTTTTGCTCCACCCCTTGACATTCCTTTAAAAGCCCTGTAGTAGAGACAGAAGAAGCTGGTGGGTAAGGACCCAGGCCCTTCCTAAGCTAGCCTGTGTTTTCTGTTTGTCTCTCTCCTCTATATATCTATCTACATATTCCTCACTTCTCCCTGCTCAAGAGTACCCTGGGGGAATAAGAGGGAGCTGGTCTCCCGCAAATGAAATGATTCCTAATGATATTCTGCTATGCTCACAGATTGGTGCCTAGCCCATTCATCATCAGAGAGGCTCCTCTAATGAGTGATGTGAACCAGATGCAGAAACCGACACCCAAACGTAAAGCCGAGTTCAAGGAACCCTGCAGAAAGGGGGTGAAAGGATATAGGAGCCAGAGGGTTCAAGGACGCTAGAGGAACATGCTTGACTTAGTTAGGGTTTCTATTGTTGTGAAGAGACACCATGACCATGGCTACTCTTCTAAAGAAAACATTAAATTGGTGTGGCTTACTTAACAGTTTCAGAAGTTCAGTCCATTATCATGACTAGGAGTGTGGGGGTCATGGAGGCAGATGAGATGCTGGAGCTGAGAGTGTTGTATCATGCAAGCAATGGGAAGGTGACTGACTCACTGAACAGTATTCTTAGCATAGGAACCTCAAAGCCTGCTCCCACAGTGACACACTTCCTCCAACAAGTCCATACCCACTTCAACAAAGCCACACTTTCTAATAGTGCCACTCCCTATGAAATTATGGGAGCCAATTACATTCAAACTACCACAATGGACAGTAGAACCAACATAGCAGGCCTCATAGTGGCTCACAGAGATTGAAGTGACACTCAGGAGTCAGCAGTGGTCTGCACTAGATCCTCTGCATCCATGCTGTGCTTGTTTAGCTTGGAGTTTTTGTGAGATTCATAACAGTGGGAGTAGGTGTGTCTCTGATTCGTTTGCCTGCTCTTGGGACCCTTTTCCTCCTTCTGGGTTGCTTCCTCCAGCCTTGATATGAGGGTTTGTGCCTAGTCTTATTGTATCTTGTTAAGCCATATTAGGTTGATCTCCCTGGGGTGCCTGCTCTTTTCTGAAGTGAAGTAGAGGACAAGTGGGTCTGGGGGGGGGCAGGAGGTGGGGCAGACAGGGATGAGTGGATGGAGAGAAAATTGTGAGCAGGATGTAAGGTATGTGAGAAGTATATACAAAAGTACAATTCACTAGTGGTGCTGTTCTAGGGATGTAAATAGGGTCACATGGGTCACAATGAAACATATGATAATTCAGGTGGAGTGGCCAGTGTGGTGAGAGCTTTTTCAGCTGAGGACTCAGAGGCTTTCAAACAGAGGATTCGGGGAATTGGTGAGTTGAGACGTGGCGGTGACTTGTTTGTCTGTCTCTCTGAATTTTCAGTGTTTACACCACTATCTGGATCCAGTTTTTTTTTTTATTATGAGACCTTTAGAAATTTGAACAACAGGCCAGGTCTGTGGTTTGAATGTGAAGCAGGCTACAGCCACTCTGCTTGCCTTTCTCCTGCCCACCTCCTTCACGAGGGCTCCACATGAGGTACAATGAAGACCACAGCACTGGAAGGTTTCCAACTTTTTTCCAATTCCATACACTGCTTTTCTGAACCAAAGAAGATTATGCCCATGTCACTATAAGAATATAGAGAATTAGCCAGGCGGTTGGTGGTGCACGCCTTTAATTCCAGCACTCGGGAGGCAGAGCTAGGTGGATCTCTGTGAGTTTGAGACCATCCTGGGCTACCAAGTGAGTTCCAGAAAAGGTGCAAAGCTACACAGGGAAACCCTGTCTTGAAAAACAAAAAACAAACAAACAAACAAAAGAATATAGAGAATTAAATTATTTTTAAAACATTCCTTTTTTGTGTGAATTCCAAATATAGATCCATTTATGCTACACTGACCTGTCTAGTGAAACGAGAGAATGAGGGTGAAGAAGGAGTCTACTGTGTACCTAATAGAACACTAGGATCTACACATGTTGGTTGATGATGTCAAAAAGATAGTTCCAGCCTAG